AAGGAGGAGTGTTTTAATAAGTGATATCATCATGCTCATCATGAATATTAAGGTAGGATCAGGCATTACTGCGTAACGGTTCAAGTTGCCACACCATATATCAGCATATATTAAGCGAGAAAGCAATAAGATGAAAGATAAGGAAATAAAGAAAAGTCGACCAAAAGTAGTAGAAAGCAGTAAAAAAAAGGAAGAAGGAATAAAGAAATACTGAATTCAGTATCATGATTAAAACGAAGATAATATGTGGAGATATATGCGCCGATGACATCCACTCTGAGCTATTTCGCCTGGAGCGTACAACCACTGGTTTCTGTTGTCATGCAGACGCCAACCAGGAAGTCTCCATTTCCCTCCACTGCTCAGAATATATATATATATATATATATATATATATATATATATATATATATATATATATATATTTGTGCAAGTGAATGGAACTACAATAAAGCTCGCATCAGTAAATTTAGCTAAACACATACAAGTTTCAGAGATTTTAAAAGCTACATGTATTTTGTTGTAAGGTAGTTGGAAGCAATCGCTACAGGAGCCCTCCATTTAGGGTTCTGTGCTTATCAGTTGTAGTCAGCAGCAAGATGCATCTTCAACCCGAAACAAATGATGTCTCTTCAGATATATGAAATCCGCGTCACTGACTGCTGTAGTCAGAGATATTACCACAAAGCTAGCTAGGCTGTAATCAGCCTCCTGTAGGATTGGATTAAATACACCGACTAGTCACAAGAAAGTAACCGATTTCTTGTTGTGTAATTCTGAGTATCGACCAAAAAATCCCTACGATCATTTAGCTATGTGATAGATAGTGAAGCAATTCACCGTCGCAGTGGAATTCATATGTTCGACCACAGTGAATGTATGCCGATTGAATACTCCTAGATGTATATTACACTCATCACAGACTGACATCAGTTGGAGAACCAATGAAAACCTGGGAGCATTGGATAGCCGTTTAGTCCTACTATGGGACTGCTCAGCAGTAGGTACCAACTACCTGGCTAGGATCAAACTCAGGACATTCAGGTTTTACGGCAAACGCGCTACCCTTTCAACCGAAGGGTTGGAGTACAATAGCTCACAGTTTCCTACTTCTGTTAACTGACTGATGAGGCAAATGCTACTTTAAACATAAAGTCTCCATTAAACTCAAAATACATACACTACTACATAGTGTTCATTAGTGACATGCTCCCAGATGGATATTCTGAAGTTCTAATGAGAAGCCGCGCATGACCTGTGGGGTCAACTAGTTGGAAGTCAAGCGGACCCCAACTGAAGACCTTGGATGATAGTCGCGCTATATTACTAGTTGACAAAGAAGTAAAAAACTGCAGACGACTGAGTTCCGACCCATTGGCTGAATGGGTAGCGCGTCCGTTATGAAACCTGAAGGTCTTAAGTTTGATCCCTAGTCTGCTTGTGGGTGCGTACTGCTTAAGAGTCCCATATTAGGACGAAGTGGCTATCCGTACTCCCATGTTTTTAATGGTTCCCTAACTAATTTCAGTCCATCCTATTAACCTCAAAATACATATGTATTACAGTCACAAAATGGACAAGGGATTTAAGGTGAAAAATCAAATCCAGTACATTTTTTTTTAAATGGACACAATTTCAGTATAAGTTGAACTTGTTTATGACAATATTGAATTTAGAATATGTAGTCAAACTAAATTAAACGCATGTTGTAATTAAGCCACTAAAAATGTTCATGATATTTTCAGTCTCTTATCGATATGAAATGATGACCTTCATAACACAAACCACTTATCTACATTAACAGTTGTTATCAATTTATAAATAATCTACATCAAACTAATTGAAAACCATAAACTCTGAAATACCCAGGGAATTTCATATAAAATCAAGACATATGGTCACATGAATGTAAGGCAAAATATTCCATTGCATTAACAGACACGTCAACAGATATTTGAACACAGCATAGCAAAGGGAGACCATAAGCATCAGCATAAAATAAGTGATACCCGATGCAAAAGTGATGGCTCTCGTGTCTCAGTGGCCTAGTGGATAGAACGCTTTGGCGCTTGAAATGATGGGCGCTAGGTTCGAGTCTCAGCGGGTTAGCCTGTTTAAGCGTCTCCTCTGATGAAAGAGAGTGATTGTTGATTGTGTTGACCACTGCACTTACTCAAAAAGTCGAAACTGCCTAGGTAAGTGGGTTAGCAACCAATGAAATCTCGGTTCATAACCAAAAGGTACGCTTGGCTTTTGCTACTTCATGCTGTTTATGGTGTCGATGTATACTACTCAGCACTTTGCTCTGTCGTACCATATCGTTGTGAAATATCGCCATTAAACGTGGATATGAGAAGGGTTAAGGTGTTCGACAGCTTAAAAGTGTAGATCGTGTGTCGTGGAACCACCACATCAGTAGTGTAGAAGTCAGCCGCAGACTTTTAAAGAAAGCAAATCAACTGATGAGACTGTGAACATTCATCGTCTGCAATGGCTGAGATGTGTTACGCATCCCAAGTCACTGTTTGCCGTCACACAGTTTTAGTTGAAGTAAGTTGAGTTTAGAGAAAAACTGAAACCAGCCAGGTTTAAAAACAATATCAGTCTGTGAAGTGCCTGACTGTTGGTCTGAGTCTGGTAGAGGCGTGATGAAAGGAAATTCATAGCCGATATCCCGCCGTGAGATAGTAGAATAGTGGAAGAGAAGGTTATACATAATCTGGTCAATATTAGAAAAGAAAATTTTCAATCATTGAAACCTATCAGGTTTAAATTCCCGAATTCATATGGATTACCTAGTTTTTCCTTACAAAAGATATGTCAACGATTCATATTGATGTGAAAAAGGCTCAACAGTGCACAAAATCTCATCAGCCTAACAAGTGAAGAAGAGAATAACGATCATCTGCAACTCCTAGATGCACTCTTGAGTCAAAAAGGAGACAGTCGATGTACAGAAAGCCTAAATCTAAATTTCTGTTCGATCTTATGCCAGTGAGTTCTAGTAAAACACCTACCTATTCAACAGGATCTATCGTATTTATGCATCAGATAAAGCAGGAGATTCAGATTACTGACTAGAACACATTAAAAACGGAAATTCGTTGAAATTGATAAATCGTTTCAGAAACTAGCTAATACCAATGCCCACTATTTATACTCCGTATCCAAGAGAAGCGTTCACACCACCCAACTATGAAGAAGGGGGTTGAATAGTACTAATTTGAGACTCAAAGATTTCATTGATAAAACATACTATGAAGTCGAGCTTATCACCACTGAGAAAACAAAACATACTTCATCACAAACTTAAACACTGCATAAACGATTGCGTCACATCCCATTGTGTTTACCAGTCTGTATGAAGACGAACATTATAAAGAGTAGTTGATGTTGTTTGGTACTCGTAATTCCCCGTTGCTATACAGGAGTAATTGAGATTCTATAATCAATCTTAATTTTAATCTCCTATTATCATTTGGCTATCTGAGATAGCCGTAGTTTGGTAGACTAGTATTTGTACTGGGTGATGATGGAGGTGAAAAGAAAATTCAAACCGCCACCGGATTCGAACCAGCGACTAACGGGATTTCCGACTCGATCCTCTACCAACTAAGCTACGGGGTCCGAATGCTGACCAGATTTTTATTTCACTTCAATCACCAAACGTTTTGTGAATTCGTGACACGTTACTATCGCTTGACCGTAATCACACTGGCTGCCTAGTGAGGACTTCTCATTCCAATCACAATATAACTGAATTAGAGATGGGGGAGTATCATATTAATTATCATTTTGACTATCTGAGATACCCATGGTTTGGCAGACTAGTATTGATAATAGGTGACGATTGAAGGTGAAAATGGTAGTCGAACAAAACCCTTAGTGACTGAAGTGAAATAAAAATCTGATCAGTAGTTGGACCTCGTAGCTAAGTTGGTAGAGCATCGGGCCGGAAACCCAGTCGTAGCTGGTTCGAATCCAGCTGTGGTCCAATTTTCGTTTCACCTTTAATCATCACCCAGTACTATTATCATTATATTTTTCCTTCGGGTTCCTAGTAGAAAATAGGGCTGCAGTAGCATGCCTCCATTACACTCTATTCTCTGCAACAACTGCCCACAAGCTTTCATTTCTTCCTCACACCATTTCCTCCATGTCAACCTCACCTCCACACCCAACTCGTCGTTTCCCCTCTCCATTCCACTCCACGGCCTCGCCTCATGCGTGATATCCCCAATCGGCCTTCTCAGTGTATGCCCAAACCAATCAATCTCCACTTTCTTTCTATGCATATTTATTGGGTAACAGGTTCTCGGTTGGTTCATTGTGGGGACAGCCAGAGTTCCTTGTTGCTTATTCTTTATGGCAATCCATCTCAGCTTCAGTATCGAGTGAGCGTAGGTGGCAGCTGTTGATGAATGTCTGTAGTTTGTTGGAAATGATTTTCGTGACACGCCAAGTTTCTGAACCATATAGGAGCACTGACTTGACATTGGTGTTGAAAATCCGGATGTTGTTCACGCTTTGTGATGAGTGTAGTAGATCTCCACAATCACCCAGTATAAATTATCATAACTGTTTTAATTCCCTTCGAGTTTTCGGTTTTATATAAACTGACTGAACAAATAAATGTATTATCAGATTATTCGAAATATACTGAGCCAATAAATCACAGATAAACTTCATCTTTCGATTATACTATCAAGGAAGCGTGAGTAAAATAAACCTAGTTTTTTTTTCAAGTGGAATCACAACGCCTTCATTTTATAAATACATGAAACCATACAGTCTGTATGAATAGCTTATTAACGACAAGAATTCAGGTACACATTTCACACCACTACTGTACAAATCAAATAGACATAATGTCAACGTGTGCACTGAATATGTTGTTAATTGGAAATCTATCCCGAGAATGCTTAAAGTTCATTGAAATGATAAAGTGATGATATAAATATACAATTCGATTAGAAGTAAGCAATTAGTGTTTAACTTACTTTCAATAATCATATAAGCAAAAAACATTGGCCATTCATTCTCGATACCAACAAATTTCTACAGGAAAAAAAAAGCAAAATAAGAGTTTGGAATGGAAAAAAAGTTATCTAAAAGTAAATAAATGTCAGACAACAGCAATAAACACAAATACTAAAACGTCAACCAGTGACCATTGGGTTGAAATACACTATGTCTATTTCAACCAAAGCAGTTGGATTGTGTGATTAGCTGGACAGTCAACTGGCATCAATCTAGGATCTGGGGTTATTACATAGTTTTTCAGTTGCAGCAAAACTCATATCAGCACAACAAGCAACAATCCACTAGTGTGGAAGTCAGAGGAATCGACAAAAGAGCGGTAGAAAGTCATGACAAGATAACAGAAATAAGAAAATACTGAATTCAGTATATGTGAATACATCTGCGCCACTGACATCGATTCTCAGACATATTACCTACAGTCTCCAACACTGGTTTCTGTTGCCACGCGGACCCCAACTGGAAAGTCTACACTCTGCTGTGCGACTTGGACCAAAGACTTCATATAGTGATGCCATGATTTAGTCTGGCCATCCAAAGCCCTTTTCCAGAGAAAACCTAATTCAGCCAATATTGTGCAACGAGGCAGACGGTGAAAAGGCATGCGTAACACATATCTCAGCCACCTCAGTTGATAAAGGTTCTCAACCTCACCAACTGACTTTCCTCTCCTCCGTAAAATTCTACACCTAACTTCTACGTTACTCATGTGGTGACACCACAATACACGGGCTATGCTACGAAGGGAGCGCTGGTCGAATACCTGAAGTCTTTTCGTTTCCTCTACCTTCAAAGGCTATATTTCACAACCATGTGTAGGACAGAGCGAACCGCTGTGCCGTGCGCTCGGCTTTTAACAGGCAATCAGATATTACAGCGGCGCCATTAATGGTGTAAGTTGGAAGCCAAGAGAGGCTTCAGCATCCGTACGTATATTTCGTCGGTCACTGACCAGCCAGGGCTGATTCATCTTGTGTGATCAACTCTTGTCTGTTTCATGCATATGCCTTCAAATCCTAAACACAGACGTGTAACGGTTTTTGAATTTATTTATCCTCTTCAGAAGTGGCTTCTAGAGAATTGGACAGATACTTTGTCTAAAAATCAGCTTGAATGTTTTTCTTTTCTTTAAACATTCTCTGCAAAGTCCGCAGACTTCATGATTCCATTTCTTTTCCAAAACATTACTATTATGTGGAGATACTGCTTATAAATCCAAACATATGAATTTCAACCTATTAATTACAATTGTGAATGCCGTTAAGCATATTGACTTTTACAATATATAGTGTAGTATCACTAACCCTGTCAAAATGAGTATATCCTATACCTTGTATACAAGGTCATCGATTTATCTTTTGTATTAAATACAGTTAAATATCTTCTGCAGCAACCTCTAGGTCCTAACTCATTATTAAAACAAAGAGAAATATTCACGATCTTCCACACAACATGATCATTTCAAAAATACTTCATACGTTAGATGTTAGTTGGATTCTAATAATCGGCAGGAAACGCAGGAACTAAGTTCCGTGTTTTTCATCCCTTGTCAGCAAGGAGTACCTGCAATCTCGATGCGACTGATGTCTCTTTGAGATTGAAACCTCCCATCACACTTAGTACTGCAGTCGGATACTTTGCCGTTGAGCTAATCAAGCATTGTGATTATGTCTCCTAGATTGGAGGTGTAAACTGCCTGTTGGAGTCCCCGAGACGACAGGAATCAGTAATGATTGATGACTTTTGGTGAAATGGCCAAACATTAGTGACAATGATGCAGATGTATTCAATCTACAACGTTTTCTAAGGCTTGAATATATTCAATAACCTTCATTTTCGAACTCTTCCTCCTCATACAGTCTACTCTAACATCAATCTTTTTCGATTCACTTATTCTTTGCATGCTACTGTGAAGTGTAACATCTTGAACTGATTCACTTCTATGTGAGATTTTACGTTGATTTTGTCTCTCTGTTACATTGCAAAATGATCAGTAGAATTCCATCAGCACTTAGGACTAGACAATATGAAGTTAGTTATCCTACAGTGACCCATCAATATACTAAAAACTTTTCATGCTTTTAAAACTGTACATGAATCAGTATACCTAAAGGTGATTTTGATTGTTAATTAAACTAACATACTTCACATCATAAACATGCTTTCTTTTTATCACTAATATTTTAAATCTGTAAAACAAAATATACTGGGATTTTTGATTGAAAATTTCCGGTAAAATCATAATCTGATAATGAAAGGAAATAAACCATGATTATGATTCCTTACCAATGAGTAATAGCATAATCATCACCTTTCATCACTTGCTAATTACTCGTTATCATTTGACTATCTTAGATAGCTATAGTTTGACAGATTAGTATTTATACTGGACCTCGTAGCTCAGCTGGTAGAGCATCGGACCGGAAACCCTGTGGTTGTTGGTTCGAATCCGACCGTGGTCCACATTTTCATTTCATCTTCAATCATGACCCAGTATAATTACTTGTTATTTTTTCATAAGGTATTCAAGAGCTTAAAGAAGTGATGAGCTATTGAACTAGTGAATGAGAATGAACTCAAAATAAGATTCTTTGACATTCTTTTGGCTCAGCAATTTTAAAAGACAACCCCCATTCTATTCTTCCTATATAACTATTTCTGAATGTAGCTGTAAGTTGATAAATAGAGTTGGAATACCCAAGAGTTAGATATTTTTCTAATTTGTCTTTCAAAGTATATGATTGGTGTTACGGTAAGAATTAATAGATGAATAAGGAGTGCACGGTCTAGGAGCTTTCCAGCTGAGAATATTGTATCACTGTAACACACAACATTTGCATTCACACAGTGCAAATTATAGATGAATTTCCGAATCTTGTTAACTCTAAATATATTCGTCCTTTCATATGTATATGCGGGAGCAAGTAACAACAAAGAACACAGAGGCGGCTGTCTGCTATGATTTGCAAGCAAATGCCAAATGGTCTATGTCTAGTAGGTTCACCATCGTTTATTTTTTATTTACCACCATCGTTTAACTATGCTTATAGTCATAGTTATTAGGTAAATTCACAAAGAATCTATACCTTTCCATGTTTTTCCCTATCACATTTCAACTCGTTTCTTCCTTTCTCTCTTCCCAACCACCACAACCACTGATAACTATGGAATAGGTGACCAGTTAATCATCACTATTGTGAGACACCAGCCGAGTGCATTATTGTTTTTTGTTATTATTTGTCCTTTGGGTTCCTAATGGAACATAGGGCTTCAGTAGCACATCTCCATTCCACTCCGCCTCTGTAATCTTTTCAACCTGGCTCCACAACAGCCCACAACCTCTCATTTCTTCCTCACACGATCTCCCCCATGTCACCCTCACCTAGGACGCCCAATTCATCGCTTCCCATCGGGGTTCCACTCGAGCGACTGGCCTGGAGCGTGATGTCCCCACTCGGCCTTCTCAGTGTATGCCCAATCCATCTCCACTTACTTCCACTGCATATTTGTTCAGCAATAGGTTCTTGCTTCGTTGGTTCGTTCCCAGTCAACCAGAGTTCCTTGTTGCTTATTCTTTATGGCAATCCATCTGAGCTTCAGTAACGAGTCAGCGTAAGCAGTTCTTCATGAATGTCTGTAGTTTGTTGGAATTCCCTTTCGTAACGCGCCAAGTTTCTCAACCATTTAGCAGCACTGACTTGACTGAATTGGTGTTGAAAATCCACATCTTGTTCACACTTTATGCTGAGTTGAGTGCAGAAGATCTCCACACTGGTTTCAGGCTGATGAAAGCCTGTCTTGCTTTACCGATCCTGGCTTTGATGTCCACGTTTGTGCCGCCTGTAGTTGAAACAGTGCTTCTTAGACAGGTGAGAAAGGCACAGTGCATAGTCTCCAATTATTTACAATGGAAACCTTAGTTAATTACATCCCCTCCAAGTAAAACATAAAGAACTCGTTGGTTTGGCATGAATTCACCTATACCTTGTAAATTTACCAAGACTTCTTATTTTCAGTTTCGATTTACTTTTCAACAAAAAGTCATTTTTTGCAGTACCTAAGTTGGCCAATCTTTCGAATACGGCATCATATAAACATTGAATTGAAACAATAACATATACAGGATATCTCTTTGACCAAATTACACTATCTGTTAATACATACTTTTGACAAGGTGTAGTTATAAATCACTAATACTCATCTTGTTCAGCAGTACATTTCGTTAGTTCATGACATTTGTTTCACAAACCATACATTGTGATATTGGTTGAATGGTTTCCAATGGAAACTCTGTTGACACCAAGGTTGGCCAGTTAAAAAATTACTCATCTGCGAGAAATATCAAGGTGAACTGTGCAATTTGTAAATCACTTGAAAATTAATCATTCTATTTGAGGCACACCAATCCATTTAAGTCAACTAGCTAGATTCAAATGATATGAACAATTCAGCTCTGTGACCTTAATTTGTCCGTGTACGCCATTGATGAGGTCGGCTTGAAAGGAGCGAAATGGTCATCTGGTGTATAGATCACTCTGATCTTCCTAGCGAAATTCACTGATCAGCCTGAGTAGCGTTGTACTGACATTTATGAACGTTAATACCGTTGGATAAAATGGACTGTGCTATGCTTCAGTAAAAGAAGATAAAACTATACCGGAGAGACAGAAAACAAAGCTGAATTATGCTGTAGCTATGCTGTCCTAGACAGTAATCTTCCACTTGTGCATCATATCTTCGAAACTGACTACAAAAATTACCGTAAGAGAATCAGTATGTGTATGATAAAAATTACTTCCTTACAGTGTAGTATGTATGAAAAGTACGGTTTACTTTTACACACTCTTGAAGAAGTAGACATTAAATGACTTCAAAAGATTAAAATAATGCCCCCACAATACACTGGAATGCAAAGTTGGAGGTTCAAGGTTACCATCTATGCTTTTATTTCACAATTTACAACACAAACTTGATACAGTATGAATAACGAGAAGTGAATCACATAAAACACTACAACCACATACATTATGACGGTATAATGGATAAACATAATGATAAAAAAATATAAAATGGTCAGAGATGGAGAAACAGCCACATACAGCACATTCACAAGCGTTCATTATTTGTGTAATACTACTCAATAGTCGTGGACACAAAAGAACTACAACATCTCAGGTAGGTATTCATCATGAATTGACATCAGTTGGAGAAAAACTGGGAAGCTAAGAGCACTGAAAAGCTGTTTTGTCCCAGTATGGGACTCCCCAGAAGTGCACCTTCACGACCCTACCCACTAGGGATCGAACCCAGGACCTTCAGACTCCATGGCCATCATTTTATCATTGAGCCACTGAGTCGGAATCCAATGCTCCAGTGCTCCCCGGTTTCCCTTTTTTTAAACTGATGTCACCTCATGATGAAAACCAACCTGAAGTCAATAAACGAATTCCCACAAACCTCCGAATTGAACTACAAAATCGCCAGCGATTCCGACTGTTCTTGGTAATTGTCCTGATTGTTACCAACGGTTAGAGTCCACTAACTGACTCACGAACTACCACCGTTCTACAACTTCCTAGTTGATTTCACACCCGGCAAATCAATGGAGAAGACATATTGAGACCAGTGGAACATGTATGCAGACAGAAGACTCCAAAGTATGTCATAAGATACATCAAAATGTGTAAGCCTTAACAGAGTAAGTCACCTAATCACAATGTGAACAAAATAGATGCATGAATGACATTCATAATTGATATGTTGTCTGTCATCCTAACTATAGTCGTAATCAGCGCAAAGTAAATTTTTATTGGTCAAATTGTACATTAATTCCTTGATCCACTTATTAGACAACGTCTCAAGATACTGACTTGTATGACTTCAGAACCGACATCCAAGTGGTTGTGATCCTATAGGATGCTAAATGACGGTATGACTATCTATCTGCTTCCTCCGTTAGTATCACTGCTGGCAAACAGTTAATACTGTGCAAGCCTCTTGACCGAAGTGAGCAACACATATCCAAGTCCTTGGGACTTCGTTATACAAGTTCCAATGAACACAACCCTAGGTCTGTCTGACTTCATAAGGACCAACCTACTCCCTGGAAGTTATCTGACTGACTCGGAGTATGCAGACGACACTATCCTCCTGGGTGAAGACGCTGACGAAATGCAGGGTCTTCTAAACATCTTGAGCAGAAATCAAAGTGTGTTTGGCATCCGTCTCACACCTGTTAAATGCGAGATGTGAAATAGGGCCATTAAAAGTAAACGACATCAAAAGGTCACAAGATTTTGATCACAGATGTATCTATTTAGCATTGCTCCCCATTGCTGGAATCATCAACTGACCTGAATAATGTTCAGGTCACACGAAGGATACTACGCATGATAAGAAAGTCGATTTATGAGGTTATCAACCATCATCGGACACTTCGACACACTTCGACATACATTGCGCATTCCAACGTCCAATGCTAAGTGAAGTTCGACTTATTCGGAGAAGAGTTCACGGTGTCCAGACAAAAACCTGGCACCAGTTCATCATGTCTCCGACTCTTCATCTCAGTCCTGTGATCACATGTGGTAGACTGACTTCTTGGAGTCCCTCAGACAATAGGAATCAGTGATTGAAGAATGATTCTCGGTGAAATGGTTAAAAATTGGTCACAATAACACAGATCTATTCACTCATTGACATCATCTAAACCTTCACTATTTGCACTAATCTCTGTCTTCAAATTGCTTATTTTTTCACACAAATTTGTCTACCTTGATATCACTCTTTTCTATCCACCTGTCCTTTGTGTACCATTGTGAAGTATGATAAATTGAGCCGATGCACTTTTTCGCGAGGTTCTACACTGAGTTTGTATGTTTGTGGGTGACGACTACTCTCGTATTCAAATGCGTCATCAGTCACCGGAATAACCTGCATGTTGATATAAGATGTAAGCAATCCTATGAATACAGTCAGTTTGTATGTACATATTCATACATATAATATATTCGCCATATCACACAATAATATGACCGGGAGAATGTGTATAAATAGGATACCGCTGAAAATTGAAGTCATAACATTTCTCAGGCAGATATCACTTAAAGAGAAGCGTGTATAAGAAAGCGTCTGTGAGTGTATAACAAGAGAATTCGAAAAATAAAAATAATTACAGCTCTAAACAAAATCGCATTCAACATCAGATATTTACCAATATCTGATACTTTATAACTAATGAACGAACGAAATGTTCTCAGTAACCTTGTACATATACATGCAACAGGCAATAAACCAGGCCTATTGTGTGTGATGCTACCTGACTCCCTAAACCTCGGTAGGTGGAGCAGGAGTTAGGTGTAAAGTTTTAGGGAGAAGAGGTAAGTCAGTCGACGAGGTTGTGAACCTTCATCGACTGAGATGGTTGGGACACGTACTACGTATGCCTAGTCACCGATTGCCTCGTCACACAATGTTGGCTGAGGTGGGTTCAGGCTGGAAAAAGGCCCGAGGTGGCCAGACTAAAACATGGCACCAATGTATGAAGTCTCTGACTGTTGGTTTAAGCCATGTAGGACGATGCAGACTAGGTGGTTGGGGTCCACGGGACAAGAGGAACCAGTGGTTGGAGACCCTAGGTGATATGGCTCAGAACCGAAGTCAGTGGCGCAGATGTATACACACATTATCCTCATCTTAACAACGCTATACCGAATCTCACTATTTTGTCACTCCTCTTTCCTTTCTTCTCATACTTTATATTTCTTTTGACTGCATTCACTTATCTTCATCCTTCACCTCACTACCTTTTTACTTGATGTGCTGATATGAGGTGTGGCAACTCGGACCGTTACGCAGTAATGCCTGGTCCTATGTTGATAATGATGATGATGATGATGAGGTGGAGCAGGCCTCGAACCCGTGACTTCTTGGTTGAAAGCCAACTCACTAAACCAGTGACTCACAGCTGCTGATGTACAGTTTCCTCATGATATAGAGGTATTCAGCAAATAAAATAAATGCCAATCAATGATGGAGGATGTTTATGCTTCAAAATGTGCATATTTCAGATGGGTGGACAAGTGATGCTCACTTTGGAAATCAAAAGTTTATCAATGAAACTTCAAGTTTAAGCAGTAATCTATAAATATAAAGCTACAAATATGGCCTATGTATGTGAACTGAATGATAATAACACGAAATAAATAGAGAGAGAGAGAGAGGCCGTTTTATACATGAAGCCTAATTACATCATCAATTGGCAAGCAGACTGAACAAGCAGCATGGTAATAATACTTTTTTACTATTATTAAACAAACCATTAATTCTCCTGGTTGATATTCACTATTTGTATCCAAAACAGTAGCATAACCATCTCGAGTAAATCGTTTAAAGCCATAACGACCTTTCAAACGTTCTACACAACGTTCCAACGCTGGTGTTCGTGTATCTGTTGAGCATGTACCATACGCAGGCCAACACAAAGCTGGTATAAGTGAAGCATCAGTACCCTAAAAAAATTTAAAACAAAACAAGAATAAAAATGAAATAAGCTTGATAATAAAAAGAAGAATGACTGAAAATGTCTAAGATATATATTGTGTACTCCAAGTCCACTCTAATTCTACAAATTTTATACATATCAAGAATATAAAAAACTGTGTAATTTCTTCTTCCTTTGATTATTTCAGTTCAGTTCATGCTACTTAATTATTTTTTTCTGTGATCATATGTAAATTAATATTATTATATTATTTATTTGTTCCTTGGGTTCCTAATGGAATATAGGGCTTCAGTAGCACATCTCCATTCCACTCCGCCTCTGTAATCTTTTCAACCTGGCTCCACAACAGCCCACAACCTCTCATTTCTTCCTCACACGATCTCCCCCATGTCACCCTCACCTAGGACGCCCAATTCGTCGCTTCCCATCGGAGTTCCACTCGAGCAACTGGCCTGCAGCGTGATGTCCCCACTCGGACTTCTCAGTGTATGCCCAATCCATCTACACTTACTTCCACTGCATATTTGTTCAGCAATAGGTTCTTGCTTCGTTGGTTCGTTCCCAGTCAACCAGAGTTCCTTGTTGCTTATTCTTTATGGCAATCCATCTGAGCTTCAGTAACGAGCAAGCGTAAGCAGTTCTTCATGAATGTCTGTAGTTTGTCGGAATTCCCTTTCGTAACACGCCAAGTCTCTGAGCCATATAAAAGCACTGATTTGACATTGGTGTTGAAAATCCACATCTTGTTCACACTTTATGCTGAGTTGAGTGCAGAAGATCTCCACACTGGTTTCAGGCTAATGAAAGCCTGTCTTGCTTTTCCGATCCTGGCTACTTTGACGTCTTCATCTATGCCGCCTGTAGTTGAAACAGTGCTTCCTAGATAGGTGAAAGAGGCTACTTCCTTTAAGTTTCTCCCGTTCATGGTGATTGGAGTTTGTTGTTGTTGGTTGGATATCTTCATCACCTCTGTCTTATCTACGTTCACCTGAAGTCAGTCCCATCTTCCTTCGCTGCCTCTTCTGTCAACTTGTTAGTTTTGCCTGTAGATCTTCGAGTTTGTGTGACATTAGACATAAGTCATCGGCGAGATCTAAATATTCTAGGTTCTTTTCCACGGTCAAGCCAGCGTATCCCCCTCTTCTCGCACCCCACTGTTTGTTGCATGATCCAGTCCACTACAATCAGGAATATCATGGGTGATAGTAGACAGCCTTGTTTTACTCTTCACTTCAAAAGCATCACTGAGTTTCCTCTAAATTTTGCATCTCTTTCTCACTCATCAACAACAATTACCTTCTTAACATAAAGCCTAGATTCATGGCTTATTCTTGTTGAAAAGACTCCAATAAAATCAAACACTAAACTGATAGCACTGATTTTTTCCCTTGCTTTGCTTAGTGGCATATATGATGTATAGATTTTGATCAGTAACTGGTGGTCGAAAAATCTCTATTCTTTCCATCTCATAAGTAATATGTGTACTTGATTCAATCCAACAGAGTGACACTAGTGATTTGTACAGCTTGGTAGTAAAGCTTATCATCCTGTGCACTGGGTGAAGTATGTTCAAATTTACATTGGATGCATGGAATTGTAGCTTATTGGTTTAGGCAGTTGACTTTCAGCCACGGGTCACGGATTCGAACCCCGCTTCATTTACCGAGGTTTGGGCAACCAGGTAGTATCATGAGCCCTCACACAATAGGTGTGGCTCATTGTATGTCGTAAAAATATCCACCAAGTTGCTGAGTGGAGTTCCAATCGATTCAGTTCGACATTGGGATGAAGAAACGCCTTACTGATAAGTAATATTAGGAGGATCAGAATATCAATCCAGAGTTTTCAACCAGCTGACTCCTAACAATAACAACAACGAAGAGAAATAGTATTCGATATTTCATATTACTGAGGTGAAAACCTTTTTTTCTCATAACACTACTGGTATTTTGACTTCCATTAGGCACGTCGTACTTGCTTCGAGAAATGATGTTTACATTGGGTTGTTAAACGTAACGAGTATGAACCTTTGAGCTTAGGTTATTGCTCACAGATACTTATCAACAAAGTAAGTCAACAATATCAATGAAATTCGAATACCCATTGAAATCGCTATTAGTTCCAAGACGATACAATGTGCGCGCTTAATAGACAGATAACTTAGTACATAAGACCCACCGACTCCAACCCAGAACGAATATCGAAGAGTGAACTGGATGGGAGAATTTATTCCTCCGAGAATAATAATCAATTGACGCAAACACACATGAGATATGACCTTATTTAAAAATTGAGATATTAACATAGTAAGAGTAAGCATTAACTAGTCAGTAAATTACCTTGAAAATGGGAGCAGAAATGAACTATTGGCCATGCCGTTACAAATGGTGCAAAAATCTTTAGATTAATAAACAATATTTTGCGCAAATCTAGGGCTTTTCAAGTGAAATGAAAACTTGGTTTGTTAATTAATCACAGTCAGCGATGTAATGAGTAACCGACAGACTTCGGAAAAGCAAAACCCAAAAATTATGACGATGAATATGTAGTTAATCTGAAAGACATGCAATTTTGTCGATTGACTACACTCAATATTGGCATGGTATGGTTAAACACACCTGGTTAGTGAGTGGCATAAGAAATTCTAGTTGGGATGGATAAAACAGTCTAAGAATGCTAACTTGGTTTATCACTCTTAACCTTCTAGTTTCGCATATCATAATAATCAAAAACAAAGGTAAGCATACGAACAGGACCGGTACTCTACCTTTGATGCAGATTCTCTAGGTAGCAAATTCGTCATAATTAACCTATTGCGACTATGCGCATCAGCATCCATGAAAAGGATAGATGAATGACCTCCTTCTGATCCGTAAATATTGAATCCAGCAATTGATTCCAATGCAGCTTTTGCCATACAAATGGAACTAATATTATGAAAATAAAAGGTGATAATCAGTAAGCAAAACTATAAGAATAGACAGTTTTCCAGTGGTTTATTTAACATAATGAATAAAATATTCTTCATATGACGTTGGTTGCTGACGAAATCTCAGCTCGGATACAGAAGCCTAGTTTGGCATCTGTCATTTTGCATCATCTCTGGGCCCAATGGCAAGACGTTGAACAATCTAACAAAGGACCAGTCTTCCGCTCTGCACTTCGTTCGGCTGTGAAACAGGGCCATTAAAAGTAAACGACATCAAAAGGTCACAAGTTCTTGATCACAGATTTATATATTTAGCATTACTCCCCATTGCTGGAATCATCAACTGACCTGAATAATGTTCAGGTCACACGAAGGATACTACGCATGATAAGAAAGTCGATTTATGAGGTTATCAACCATCATCGGACACTTCGACACACTTCGACATACATTGCGCATTCCAACGTCCAATGCTAAGTGAAGTTCGACTTATTCGGAGAAGAGTTCACGGTGTCCAGACAAAAACCTGGCACCAGTTCATCATGTCTCCGACTCTTCATCTCAGTCCTGTGATCACATGTGGTAGACTGACTTCTTGGAGTCCCTCAGACAATAGGAATCAGTGATTGAAGAATGACTCTTGGTGAAATGGTTAAAAATTGGTCACAATAACACAGATCTATTCACTCATTGACATCATCTAAACCTTCACTATTTGCACTAATCTCTGTCTTCAAATTGCTTATTTTTTCACACAACTTTGTCTACCTTGATATCACTCTTTTCTATCCACCTGTCCTTTGTGTACCATTGTGAAGTATGGTAAATTGAGCCGATGCACTTTTTCGCGAGGTTCTACATTGAGTTTGTCTATCCGTCTGTGTGACATGAAACTGGATCCTGTTTAATTAAGAAGGGGCTCCTAGCACTAACGAGATTATTTAACAGTAACCAAAGAAATAAATACTACATTACACCAGGGTTTAGTAATAATCTAAAAATAAGGTGTACTCTTGGAAAATAAAACTGTCAAAAGTGTGGAATGTGTTTTTTTTAGTTAGTTTCAACGACACAGTGGCGTCAAGCAAGGAAACTAACACATTTTAAGCTTCTGATGGCCATCACACAAAATGTCAAACACGAGTTTTGCACTGTTTGTGGAAAATGCTACATTATGATTGATCGGGATATATATATGCTAATTCCGGTTAACAAGAGTAAGTTTTCATTGCTGAATTGACTTGAAAGTTTATACAGACCCAGATGTTCAGGTTGAAAAAGAAATCTTATAGTGATAACAGTAGTGACGATAGGTATATACCAACTTGCTCTCCCCATAGTATCAGTGAAATATTCGAATATTCACTAAGGATCGAGTATGTTAACACCGCATTCCATTCCATTCCATTCAACTGTTTGGTTGCAAAACACTGTCAATAGAGGTAGAGAACATTCAGTCTTCAGGCAGTTTGATTATCAATCCTTTCCCAAAACAGTTGGCGTATGTGACCACCTAGGTAGTCAGCAACATTTGTGTTAGACTTGTTTTTATGACTAGGAAACAAATAAGTCAACAGTTTTCTAAATTTGTATTGAATGAAATGACTGGAGTGTGTTTGGAAATATCCTGTCACTACCAGCATTGAAGTATGATTCTAGTTCGAAGAAAAAGTTAAAATGGAAATGCTAAGGCGGCGAAATGAGAACAAAAAATTAGTATCTCAAGTTACTGACCACTGATCTCAGTCTTATGACAAATTATAAGCATTCGGTTCGGATATCCATGACAGTAGTTGAGATGTTATAGAACATTGGTTCAGGTAGTCAACTTTCAACCAGTAGGTCACAATTTCGAACTGCACCTCAACTACCAGAAATCAGGCTGTCAGTCTCCTAAGCCTTCATCATTAGGTATCGGAAAGTGCAACCAAACTCTGGGAAAATCAATCAACTTCATTCACCTGAGAAGATTGTTCTGGAGGTGCATAGTAAGTTGAAAGTAAGACATTAAGGCCTAAAAATGATTAACCATTACACAGTAGATTTTTAGCCACTAGTTCATAGATTCGGACACTCATGCACCCATGGAAAGCTGAACAACCAAACTGTCACTAACCTTCAAATAAAAAGTTTGGTTTATAGTTTTGTGTTTAAGTGATTGATAACAGTTCAAATTTTATAATTAAAAGAGAAATGAGATGAGAATAACGAAAATCAAAGGGTAAAGACTTCATATCTTTTAATAAAACATTTTACCTAGCATGTAATTCAGTTATATTACGGTTCTGTTTTGTTCCACGTTCCCACATTCCATAATCTGGGATACGATAGGCTCTTTCCAGATAGAACGCCAGATTTTGTACAAATGCCACTTCATCTTTGGTATAAACAATCTGGATAAAATAATAATAACAATAATTTCACAGGTACATATTTTTACTGAAAGCAGAACGAATAAAGAATGGTGAGCATAAGATTAGGAGACATGAGATATTCTCGTCCTATCGGTTTATCAGTGTTCTTAACAAAAAGGAGTCGAAGAAAATCGCTTGATATTCCAAGAAGAACTAGCCTGAGTAGAGCAGTTTGCGAAACGATCAGATCAACAACCGAGTTATACCTTTCTCTATGATCAAATAAAAAACCCTAGCGATGATAGACCATAAGTTAAGCTTCTATTGTACTAAACATTAGTCCCGAAATACAGTCATACTAACCTACATGCACTGCGCATGCCGATCCACCACCTACCTCGACGTGCAATATACTAGAGGAAGTTGGATCAAAGGTGACCAGCTCAAGACCTGTCACCAGTATATGGAGTCTCCGACTCTTGGTCTGAGTCCTGTGAGATATAGACTGATGGTTGTGTTCCCCAGATGATAGGAATCAGTGGTTGAGGATATGGTTGAAAATCGGTCACAATGGTGCAGATGTATTCACTCCTTTTGGGACATAGGGCTTTAGTAGCACGTCCCCATTTCATTCTCCCCTCTGCACTCTTTTCAACCTGGCTCACCACTCCACACAAGCTTTCATTTCTTCTTCACACCATCTCCTTCGTCACCCTCAAACGCCCGATTCCTGTTTCCCATGCGGGTTCCGCTCGAAGGCCTGATCTGGCGCGTGACGTCCTCGAATGGTATTCTTAGTGTATGTCCAATACAATACAATCTATCTCCACTTTCTCTTCTGCATATTTGTTGGGCGACAGGTTCTTGGTTGGTTTGCAGCTAGCCCAGAATTCCTCATTACTTATTCTTCCTGGTTATTTATCTGATCTTCAGTATCGAATGAGCGTAGACGGCAGCTGTTGATGAATGTCTGTAGTTTGTTGGAAATACTTTCCGTAATGCGCCAAGTCTCTCAACCATCACAAAGAAGCACTGACTTACTTGACTGACATTTGTGTTGAAATTCTGGATCTTGTTCACGCTTTATGCTGAGTGCAGTACAGTATATTTCCACACTGGTTCAGATTAGTGAAGGCCTGTCTTGCTTTTCCGATCCTGGCTTTGACACCCTCATCTGTACCGCTGCCACCTGTAGTTGAAACGATGCTGCCTACGCAGGTAGATGAAAGACACTACTTCTTTTACATTCCTCCTGTTGATGGTGACTGGTGTTTGCTGCTGTCGTTAGTTAGGTATCTTCTTTACGTTCAACTGAACGAAGTCCTGTTTTCCTTCGCTGCCTCGCCTCTTCTGCCAACTTGTCGGTTTTCGCCTGTAGATAATCGAGTTTGTGTGACAAGACATCAGACATAAATCATCATCGGCGAAATCCAAATCTCTAAGCTTTTTTCATCGATCCAGTCAGCGCATGCCCAGCTCCTCACAGTTTGCCGCATGATCCAGTCGACCACAATCAGGAAGATCATCGGTGATAGTAAGCGGCAACCTTGTCTTACACCTGTGCTCTGTCTTCATTTCAAAGGTATCACTGAGCCTTTCATTGTGAATCACTTGGCATGCACCATCCTCATATGGCATATAGTTGTTGAATGAAGTCGATAAGGTTTTGTGGGACTAAAACCGTAGTATTGAAGCAGCTGCCTGCCAAAGTACTTCTCGGTCGACGCCTCGATCAAAGGCCTTTTCATAATCGACGAAGTTGAGATAGAGAGTTGACTCCCATTCAACGCTCCGTTCTATGATGATGTGTAGTGTCGCGTTGCAGTTCGATCCGCACATGATTTGTTCTTCCTAAATCCACCCTGTTCTGATCGTAATTTGAATGCAGAGCATTTTTTAGTTTCTCCAGGGTGATACGGCTTAATATTTTGCTTGGGGTAGACAGAGGTGGAACATGATTCCTCGCCATTTCTTGCAAAGCTTTAGGTCACCCTTCTTTGGAAGTTTGACAAGATAGCACTTCTTCCAATCGATCAGCAGATACCTTTCCTTCCTTCCTTGCAAACCTTTTGCAATAGAAGTGGTGTCAGCATGTCCGCTGTTGTCTCTGTGTCTGTTTTCAGTGCTTCTGGAGGAATTCTATCTGGTCCTGCTGCTTTCCCGGACTTCAACAACTTTATGGCGTTTAGGACTTCTGCTTTTGTCACAGGGTTTGTGTTCACTGGCAGTTCTGTGGCTGGGCTGCTGGTGGTATTTCTGGACGAGCTGCAGGTGGTGGTCGATCCAAGAGTTTTTTCGACGTCTTCTAAATCCCAAATATTTGCGCTAACCGTCATCTTCAAATTGTTATTCTCTCACACAACTCTGTATACTTCGATCTTAGTTCTTTGTATACTACTGTGAAGTGTAGCAACTTGAGCCGATGTACTTGTGTACGAGGTTCTACGTTGATTTTGTTAGTCAGTCAGTCACATTGAACCCCAACCATACTTATTTACTTTGAACCAGCCGCCTTTAGAGTAAGCCAATAAATTCTTTGTTGGCCAATGAATCAAATCTTAAATTGCTCTCAATCAGAGCTTATATCAGCTATTGAAAATTAGTATAGTAACCCCTTATGATAAATCGAAAATACTTCTCTCATAAGTAAGTTATCAATCCACAAGATGTCCATAACGAAGCTCTGCTGAGTAAGGATATTGCCAAAATGTAAATTTATCTCAACAAATAGACTAAAGATTCATTAAATATTCGGCAAAGAGTCGAGCCCTTAAAGTGGGAAATAATACAATGAGATCATTACAGATTCATGAGAAGTTTTATCATAATAAATAAAAAGAGTGGATGCTTCACCTGACTAAGTAGCTACATTATCCAGAGTGGTAGAATTACCTACGGTTAAGTTGCTGAGCGATGCAAAAAAAAAATAATAGACCCAATGACTGAATTATTCTATTTGCGGTATCTTCGAAATATCGACTTACTTAAAAAGTATTAAACATGTGGTTCAACTGGTTTTATCTAGTCTACAGTTAAAAGATAAGGCGGATGGCGAATAAGACATTTTACCAGTACACAATTAACACTATACTGTCATAGGATTGACCCAATTCGGTGGAGTCATTTTTTGAGCAAACTGAGACAACAGGTTACGAAGTGAAGTATATGACGTACAACAATAAAGATTGACATGCAATTTGTACAAGCAGATTTGATATTCATCATCTTGAAGAGTGAAATAGTTTCCGATGACAACAATAAAGAAAAGTATTTAAAAAGGTCATAAGACTGAGTAATAACCAATAAGTTTCTTCGCCTGGGAATCGTAGGCACATACACTAGGATCGCTCATTGAAAATAGCTGGTTACATAACGAGGAAACGGGAGTCTTTTGCGACGACTCATTTACTTTTATGATTTTTCCAAACAATAATTTATACTTGTTGGCAGTAAAATATGTGAATCCTAATGCATCTCTGTAAGTTTGATGGCTAACTTAACCGAAAAGACAAATAATAATTGAACTGAAAAGACTCTTTCTAATAAAAAGTGACTGACCTGAAGTCCAGAATGAATCATTTGAGTTAGTTGAATAACATACAGAGCAATACAGTCCATTTGTAAGTTTTTATAATGATCATCGTATATAGGTTCACCCGTTTCATAATCGAAACGCGGATGCAAACAAGTATCCAAATTTTGAACTCTTTTAAAATTTTCCAACTGAAAAGTTTATGAAGGTAACATTATTCCCAAAGTTAGTATAAAGTTAACGCACGAACTTCACTGAACAGGAATATCAAAACACGCAGGGTTTGAAAGTAGTTTTATTTGTATTACATCATACACTAACCTATCAGTGAGATAAAACAATGAAGCTTACTTCTTAGTATACACAATAAACTAAACAGTAATCTCGAGAAATCTACGAACTCTCATCCATCTAAGCATATTTGTGCAAATATTTTACACAAGTGTAATGAAGGTATTAATTATGGACAATGGAATCACCATTTCTTCATATTAGAAGCATATGATGACTAGAAACTCATGGAAATAACCAACTTATCTCAATCTTACTAATGCGTCAGTGTGTATTACTGGTCCTCATTAGAATTAGAGCACAAAAAATAGACAAAAAAATGTATCTCATAAAAACAATTTATCTCAACAATAATACTCGAAACATACTCGTGAAGACTGCTGCATCCAACCCATTAAAATGCTACGCATACATTTAACTGCACTTTGTCCAAGTTCATATTGATGACCCTCATCATCGTCTACTCGCCTATGGAGAGAGAGAAAACAAACAAGACCCTATTACAAATTGTTTGGCATTACTCCCTACCCACATATTGAAATGATGTGAAAAACACCCCAACTGGTCAACTATTTCTGTTAACACAATTTAGTTCCAAAGTAATTTTCGGTAAGAATCAGTAACATATGTTGTTACTTGTATTATACGCGTCGCACAAGAAATGGTTATCATGATTCGGTGGCCTAGTGGATGATGCTCTGGCATTTGATGCTATCTGTCTTGTGTTCCAGTCTTGGTGGGAACAAAATCACTCACTGGAGAGACATGTATATCCAGCTGACGAGTCCCAAATAAGACGAAACTTGTGTCCTGCATTCCACTGCTAGTCACTAATAGTTATTAAGAACCATTAACAGTAGGAAAATGCATTATAGTAGGGGAGCGCTGTAAGTTTATTTCCCCTAGTTCCAAGCTAGTTCAATTAATCTCTATCTACCGGAGTAAACTTAGAAATGTTGGTCTGTCGAAACCATCAACCACATATATTAGTGACCAGTAACCCCCTTTATAGAAAGGAAATTATGCAATACCAAGTAAAGTTGTTCAATTAGATTCTTATGGATGCCGTTTGGACGCCTGAAAAGTTGCAATTTAGAAAGAAACAGCTGTCCAGTGTCGTTTTAGTCTTATTTAATCTTTGGATAACTTTTCTCCACACCATATAGAACAGAATTCTAATATTCAGCAACTGAATCCATCAAACTCTAGTCAAAAATGTACCCGCCAAATTATTTTTACATGTTTGCGATCTTTAAAAATCAAGACTAACAGTTTAAATACTTCGAGTATAAAAATTAAGTGCTGATGAGACGACGAAATTCAAGCTGAAAATAAAAGTTGTTATACCCCATCATGATTAAGCCGATCTGATTACCTTAGCTGACACAGATTCTTTACACAAACGACTTAACAGTGTTGTCAACTAAGAGAATATTGTGAGATTTACATAAAAGGCTTATATGACAGTCGAAATCCCTCCAGCATTATCAGCCAAGACGTTGGTCTTCAAAATGACTAAGCAACACGTGCAGGCCTTTTAACCGAGCAGTGACCTACACCTACTGTGTGGAAGGCAATGATAATACCTGGCTGCTTAATTCTCAGTACATGAGATGGAGTTCTAATGCATTACCCATTGGTTGGAAATTGAGTGGATAACTTAGTGAGCCAAAGCTACACCGACTCCTAAATGCGCATCAACCAGATCACTTCAGTCGAGTTTCAAAAATCTGAAAATAAAACAATGATGTCTATGAGAATCATTTTGAATTAATTAGGGAAAAAACTCTTTACAACCTAAAAATAAACATGATTGATAACGTCAACGAAAAGCCATTTACATATTTATATAATTTGTTAGGAACAATGAAAATATGTACTATTTTATGAACGGAAAAGGCACTCAGCTACCTTGTAAACATTGGTGCAGTGGGCAATGAGCCACACCTCTATTTTGTGAAGGCTAGTGATACTAGCTGGGTGTCCAAACCACGGTAGGTGGAGTGGATGTCGAACCCGTAACCCAATGGTTGACAGCCATCTCTCTAAACCACTGAGCCTTAGATCCGCATTATTTTATGAAAGCAACATTATTAAAAATTCACCAGGATAAAATTCACTCACGAAAAGCATTGATGCAAAGCCCATACAACTGTAGCGCAGTAGACAGAATCACGTACATGACTATATCTACAGTTAGGATCCTTAGGTATAAGAGGAAATAATCCACTGATAGGGTGTTGAAAACGGAGAATCTGGCTTTTTACTAATAAGAAAAGACAAAACAATACAAAGCGTAGAAATGTCTAAGCGGTGATAGTCTAATGAGGAGAAATATGCAAACGACTGAACTGTCAAGAAACTTTAATGTGCAATAAACACACTTCAACAAACATTATTAAGTGACAAAGTGTCTTCGACAATACTAGAAATTGTCTACTAAAGCAAAATAACAATCAAAGAAACAGGACACAGTAATGATGATAATTGAACTTGGATACCTCTAGGTCTTAGCAATAACAGCACACAACGTAGGTATACAAAAAACCACAGTTTCCAAAAGACAGAAACTCTGGATTGGTTACCTTCGGGAAAGTTTTACACCTGGTCCCCTTGAAGCACTTTAACAAACCAAGAACAGAACTTTCAGAGTAAAAAAACTCACATGTCAACAAAATAACATCTGATTCGCGTTGCACAAGTGATGGTTGTCGCTCCTCAGTGGCCGGGTGGGTAAAGCTTTGGTGTTTGAAGCGATGGGCACTGGGTTCGAGTCTCAATGGGAACAACACTCACTGTGGTGGAGGCACACCCAGCTGACAAGTCCCAAATAGAACACAGCCCGATTTCTGGATTCTACTGACTGCTATAGAATAGACTACGATGAAAAAAACTGGCTTTATTTCACAGTTTGAATAATCGTGTTGAGATTATATTTGTTTACCTACAAAATATGACTCTCCCTATCCCCTCAAAGTGTTTGAGAGAGCTGTTATTATTGTGTACCGATAAAGTTCATTTCACATTTGAAGGTGAACATTTTCGACAAATAGATGGTGTGGCTATGGGAAGTCCTTTAGGACCATTGCTAGCTGATATTTACATGTCACACATTGAGAGCTTGACCGGCGATCTCATCAATAAAGTTACTCTCTATAAAAGATATGTCGATGATATAATCGTCATATGTGATAAGCATGAAGATGCAACATGTTTGTTAGAAAGACTTAACAACGTACAAAACAACATAAGCCTGACAAGTGAAGAAGAAAAAGAAAACCGTCTGCCATTCTTGGATATACTCCTAAGTCGTAGAAATGATGGTTCAATAAAACGGTCGATCTACAGGAAACCTACTTGGACAGGTCAGTATTTAAGTTTCCATAGCTTTTGTCCAACCCAATACAAGCGAGGTTTGGTAATTTGTCTATTTAAAAGGATCGAACGTATTTGTACGGAGGACTCAATGGATGATGATATCAAAATACTAACGGAAACATTAGTGGAAAATGGATATCCATTGAAGTTCATAAACCGCTGCAAAAATCAGCGAGGATTCAAACCTGATCTGTGCTCTGTTTCGAAGAAATGCGTTTACATCGCGTTACCATACAGAGGAGAAGCTAATAGCATAATATTAAAACGAAGGTTAAGGTCTGCTGTTAGCAAAACGTACTATGCAGCTAAGCTTATCATAGTTGAGAAGACCAAACACCTGCTGCTACCTAGACCTCAACGCTGTATAAACGATTGTGTCACATCCCATTGCGTTTATAAATTTACATGTGTGTGTGGACAAACATACATAGGGAGGACGAATCGTGATATGCACTTGAGGGTAGGGGAACATGTTCCAAAGTGGCTACGAAAGCAGCTGGATTCACAAACATTGATAAGCGCAGATGGCAGACAACCATCATCATCCATTGCGAAACATATCATTGATAAGAGTCACAGAATTGATATCAAGACAGCCTTTACAATTTTGTACCGAAACTGTCAGGGGCGTATACTTAAGTTTGTTGAGGCGCTAGCCATAAATAAATTTAACCCCCCATTGTGTGTGCAAAAACAGTTTGTCCTTACATTAAGCCTACCTTGGTAATGCTTATTTTATCGTATTACCAAGATTGTCTTCAAGTCTTATCTTTTATTCCTCTCATTATCTTTCTTATTATTGAATTCCTTTATGTCATATGTGTCCTTCCCCCACTTCCAGTTTTCATATATAAATTGCCTTAACAAGTAAATGTGTGATCAGATTGTTCGAAATGTATAGCGCTAATACATCACATTTTTCAGATAATCTACGTCTTCTAATGACTCAGTTAACTTCGAACTTATCCTGCCTGATTCTTTATGACGTTAACTGGCTTATTACCATTGACGTCTAACTCTTTACATTCTTTCTTCATAGTTATTGGATTAAAACTTTGTTGTTAACGGCAATGACCTCGGATCGTTGGCTACGGAACTCGGCTTTAAAGCAACGGGCCCCGAGCGCGAACCCCACCCACTTTGGCCTAGGCAACCAAGTGGTATCTATCCTAAGCCGTCACACGAAATGTGTGGCTTAAAGCCTAGCGTATAAACACACGTATGGTTGAGCCAGATTATTTTTTTATTTCCACAATCCACTGTTTCATTTTTTTAAAGCCACTCTGCCTTGAGTAGTTAGGCATATGCATCAACTGAATTACTTATACCGGTCAATAGATCAATAACATAAACTAAAGCTAATCAGATATCCTAATTTGGGCACAAACATTCCTAAGCTTGGCTAACTAGACGATATGAAGATAGGTAGTGATCAAGCATTTACACCATATATGGGTGGCTGTCGTGCTACGTTGAGCTATCCATATGCCTTATTAAGCACTTCAGTAATTCAAAAAGACGTTTTGAACAATCTTTCTGGGTAGAGGATCAGTTTGCCCTTGTTCCCTGGTTATGTGCACTGAGATACTGGTTGATGATAGAACGAGTACAACAAAATAAAGGCTTGTTTTCATTTTAAATAGGACTGCATCAGTAAACGCCTTAAAACCCTAACAAAAGCAGTTTTACGCTGTCGGCAGATGGTGAGAAACTCTAAAAAGAAATGAACTTATTTCACGCTTCAGTTATTTTGTGTCTTGCCTCACTCAATTTTTAGGACGCTTAAGAGGAAGCTAATATCTCCAAGACGAAAGGAAGCAATGGTTGAGGACTAACTCTTGTTGATATTACTAAGAACCAGTCACAATGGCGCAGATATATTCATTTCTCGACATCTAACGATTGAGTATTTCCACTAGCCTTTATCTTCGAATTGTTTAATCTCGCACACAACTCTAACTACTTTGATATCACTCTTACTCTACCCACCTATTCTTTGTACACTACTGTGAAGTGTGGCAACTTGAGCCGATGCACTTTTGTACGTAGTTCCATGTTAATTTTGATAGTTGTGTCAGTCAATCAGTGATGAGCTAATCGAGATACATAAAAATAAGTGGCTGTTATATAAAATTAAACTCCGTTAAAAACCAGTCACCTTCCCTCTCCCCGGAAGTCAAGTAAAATAAGTGTTAAGAGTGATCGTCATAAATACATAGTAAGGTTTTTCCATAAATATATAATCCGCTGACAAGTACAACACATAACTGCAGATATAATCACAGATACCCATAAAATCAAAAACCCAAACCAAATTTTTCGGGAATGAATCAGCCAATAGAACCTCTATTTCTGTCAAAAGTTATAACAAAGTCATTCCAATCAAACGTCTGTGGTTATGCTAATTATGGAGAAAGAATCAAATGCTCTGGATTGCTGCATAGTACTACGAATAAAAAAAACCTTGTTCTGAAATCTGGAAGAAAAACCGAAAGAATAAATGTACATTCTGTTTTTACGAACTTTCTCTATAGATTCACATTGAAAAATAATATGTAGTATTCATTTTAATTTGACAAAGTGGATTTGGTTATCAATGTATGAACAGATTTCGGAGCAGAAAAACTAATTGCACAATACAATGTAACTAGAATGTAAAACATAATCACATACCAACATTGTAGTAAATGTCTAACTTCTCTTTCAGTGTACAACCCTTCAGATTATCTCGTCGAACAACTGTCATCTTTTGCGTTACGACAATTAGTGGAAAATGTTGAACAAAGGTGTCAATTAAAATAAATTCAAGTCTCGAACTGAATGAAGAGAACGAAGCCGAGTCTAAAAATGCAAAATAATAAGGTTATTTCTTAAGAATATGGGTACGGAAACATATTCAGAATGCACTAAAGTGAGCAAAAGAGGACGCTGAAAAAGACATGTGGAATGAGCAACTGTTAGTCAGTGATGAACTTTTTCAGAGTGGAGTTGTTTGGTACTTTTAGTTTCAGATGTTTTAAATACATTTAAGACCTCATTCGAGGTAGGGGACCAAACAACCATCACCATATCTTAAATATGAGACTCCCATTTAAAAAGGGATTAGTAGATAGGAACTAAAATGATTCAAGGGTTCTCCTATCTCCACCTAAGAAAATAGGAGGGTCGGCTGTCTTTTTCCACTGTTGCGGTAGGAACAATAGTGATCTCAATCTGAGGCTTGAAACCATTAGTGGTTAAAACTGCTATTTTTCCCATTTATTTGTCTTGAACAGGACTATAAACTCAGATAACTTCAACAAATAGTTCATAAACTGTAACCGGAAAGATTACGTCTGGAAATACGTTTTGTATAGAGTTGTGATCAAGTGTATAACACAACTGGGGCGGTATTTAACGCTCTCTGCTAGTAACTTCATAGCAAAAATGGATCTCCACAGTTCAACCACTAGCAAGAATTAAAATAGGCATTCCAATGCCTATTTTCCCATGGAAAACTATACCTAATTCCTTGAGGCTGTACCTAAGCACAATGTAAAACTGAGTATGAAACGTTAGGTGACGATAAGCAGCAATTTAAGCTACATTCAAACCATCACTTTTTTAAGACGTTAGGAAAAACAAGAGTCCTTAATAGCTTTAACAAATTTATTACATTTAGCCGACAGTGACGCCACATTCGAAAACACTGCGTTGGCACATTCAACATCCAATGTCAGTTTCAGTTTGCAGTGATGTAGATAACAGGCCAGTTGTGAAAATCCCTTGAGAAGATATCTCTCTGAAGATTTAGTATCCCAACGAACGCGTTGACTAGATTTCCTTACGCTACTTGCTGAGGTAAAGAGTCCCAGGGAGAAACGCGTATTCAAGTCAAGTTGGGATTTCCTTATGATGTTCTAGGAGATGATCAGTCTTAGCAAGAGAGAAGAGATGCGAAATATCAGTGCTGAAGTCACTACTGAGGATACCGAATGCCAGTACGAAATCACCCTGTTTTCTACTATAAGACAATTGGAATAACTTTATTTTTTATATTTTGTTTATGCTTTGAAGTTTCTTTAGCGGTTGGATTGGTTTTACGGAGTAGGGTTGCTAGCCCTACGCCCAACCTTCCCTCTTTACCCAGGCTTGGGACTGGTTAGTAACTAGTGGACTAGTTAACCAGGTGAGGTTAAGGAATAACTTTACTCGATGTAACAGTTCCTCGTCGGGTACATGCGAACGGCCTGCTAAAAGCTTAGAGCCTTCCCATTCAACACGTTTCAGTGTGTCATCATAAGCTTTTAGGCATGGGTTGGCCGCCTGAATGCAGTTTTTAGGGTGAGATCCAACATAAGTAGAACAGATGTCCTGATCAAAACTTTTGAAAACTACCATTGGAGTATAATGTATATTGGCCCTTCGCTTCAGTCCAATTACAGTGTGACAAAGTTCTCAAGTGACGGCTTATGATGACACCTAATTCTTTCAGTCCCAATACTGGGAGTGATGGTGGTTGAATACTGTGAACAATTCCAATACTCACTGTGCACTACACTTCTATTAGTGTTAATTTCTAGACACGAACGTTCGGACCAACTTACCAGTTCATCCAAATCCGCCTGAAAAGCATAACTATTGGCGTCAGTACTTTGGAGTAGAGGAAACTTTTGGTCTCTGAAATCTCGTGTCTTGGTCTTTAGAGTCCGTACTTTTCGTCACGTTTAGCTTCTGAAAGGCCACAGGGGGATACTCAGTTTAGCGACTTATGTTCTAGTAGTCGCTGACTGTCAATTTCAGAGTTTTCTTTTTTAAATCCTAGGAGGTCTGATTAGGATAACAACAGGGCTGCTGATGCGTCCAGTTGACCTTCGGTTTTTTTATGGCCACTATTATTTAAGTATTAAGCGCCACTGAAAAGTAATGCGAGGATGGCGGTTGGTAGATAATATGAGAAGGTAAGTGAAAAGTGCTTGCGCAAGATACCTGTTACTAGTGGTACTGCGTGGAGGGTGTGGTTCATATTATGGATGCTGTGACAAGGTTACATCTGGATGGGTGGGCATACCTCCACTTTTCACCGGCACACGTCAGCGGACGGTCAACTGTGTTAACGCACATACCGAGCATCTGAGGTTTCTGTGAGACTGTCGGTCCAAAGCCGACACTGTTCCCTGCTGGGGTAGTTCATCTGATGGATAATGTAGCAAGATATTAACAAGCCTCCGCTTTTTGCCTGAAAGTCTAGGGTGGGCAAGTTGGCCGATTGTCAGGGTAGTACATGCGCTTCGCATACGTGGTCGACACCTAACCTTGTTACTCTTTTACACCTTCCTGAGTGGTCTCCATCCGTCACATAATACATTCGCTGCTAGAACTCAACTTTGGCATGCGGCACAAGCGGCTGTCAAAGCTAAACAGCAGCCATTCAAGAAAACGCTGATGTTCAGCAAATTCTTATTTTCAGCTCACTAAATTCAATGATGACCTTCACAACACTAATAAGCGCGGCAGTGATGACGAGGAAGCAGTGGTGGAAAAGACCATGACTCGTATCTAGAGACGGTTTCACAGCAATTGTGACAGACTGAAGGTGAGGAAGGAAAGGCCAAACAGCGAAAAACCAGTAGACTTGATGTGCTCCATAGCATCGTTCCCCTACACTCATGACGTTACTGAAAGTGAGAAGGTGGTGCCAGTATAGGCCCCCGGGCTTGCGAAGAGCACCCGTCTACCCTATTCTTGAAACGCTACTTACGGCACATAGGATTTCTAAAATTTATTTGCGAGGAAATTTTGACACTTTTGAGGTAAAGGACTGGCGATTTCCGGGAATTTCATGCATCTCCCCATTTGGGCCCGGAGTCAAATTTTCGGGGATTTTGACCGACGTATACTGGCCGCGTGCTTGTTTTCTATTTCATTTTTTACCCTAATATTTAAATATCAAGCTTTGTTGATATCGATTTTAGCATTGTGAAAGAGTCTGTTCAACCTGAGGTGGATGCCAATGTCTACTTGGAGCTAACTACCAGGCTTTGGCGGGCAAGAACCGGGACTATGGCCCACTCAACTGGAGCACGTTTTTGACTGTCGCAACAAACTGTCAGAGAAACTGGGACACAAGGACTTGTGCTCCATATTTCCCCTCTTAGCAAGTAAAGGGGTTCGTGACCCCGTACTTGATACCCCGGGAAAGCGGCCTCAGTTCATGGTCAGGCTTGAGATAGCAAGCGGTCTGTCAGTATCAGGCAGCAAACGGGTCCAACGTCTGTCACAAAGTGAGATCTGACGGGACAGGTCACCTACCCACTTTCGGAGGCACTTAATAAAGATGGTGGGAAACAGTTCTGTCAGAGAGGTCATCCTCAAAGATGGCTGGATCCAAGCACTGTTGTATCGTGCCCAGCATGCGCTCGATGCACTCCTGGAACTACCTGGAATAGAAGATCTTATTAAGGAGTAGGAGGCGGCCATAAAACATAAATAACGAGGTCTGGACGAAAGACCATAATCCTTGATTTCGAATCCAAATGGCAACTTCCCTCTGTTTTTATCGTGGCAAACCTAGACTAATATTCCCGTGGTAGCGCAGGGTATTCCGTAAACAACCGTCATCCGTCTATTTGGTTTGGACGAGTTTGTGTAGATGACCTTTTTCCTTCGGAATGCTGCACAAACTTTACAGGGGTATATGGATGTTCTTCTGCAAGATTTGCCGCTTAACGTGGTACACACTGCTGACTTATCGACTGCCAGCCTGGATTTGCACTTACATGAAAGGGGCAAACGGGCAGTTTTAAAGAGGTTAAACGACGGTGGCGTGAGGATAAATCAGAGCAGATGAGTTTTCGGAGTTTAGATCACCGAATTCCTAGGACACATGATGAAAGGAGAATGAATATCCTCACTGCCAAAAAGGTGAAGGCTGTCAGCCAGTGGCTACCTCCACAACGCAACTAAGAATTTTTTTTGGTCCTATCAATTTTTATCTCAGATTCGTACCAAATCTCATACGGCACACACAACCCCTAACTGGTGCATCAAGAGGAGATCCTAAGGACTTCAAGCTGTCTACAGAAGCCATATAAGCCACTGACAAGTTAAAAGTGGCTTTAGAAAAGACTAAACCCTGACGACCTTGATGCCAGTGATCCATTAGACATTATGGCCAGTGCTACCGGTGAGCATGTTGAAGCAGCACACAGTCAACTGGTGAAGAAATACTTGAGGCTATTGGTGTTCCTTTCAAACACTTTCCTCCACCCAAAATGCGACATCCAAAGTTCTATCGGGAGCTATGGGGATCCCTTTAGCCACTAAACACTTCCGTCACATGATAGAAGGTAAAAAATTTACAGTCTACAAGAATCAACAACCTTTAACTTTTGCGCTATGTGCTAAGCCTCATAGATGCTCACCACGTGAAATTATTCACCTCAATCTTATTTCAAAAGTTGCAAACTATATAAGATACACCAAAGGTACACAAAAGTTTGCGAGTGAGGCACCGCCTACAGGCACTACTGACCAATCTACTATAGATCTCAAGGTTTTAGCCACAAATCCAGAGAAAGCCAGGGATTTCAGAGATCTATTTTCTAGTAGTAGCTTTACCCTAAAACTTAAGCATTTACCGCATCCACAGGCGGTGGACCTATTTATTGTGACGCGACAAGATACACCTGGACCTTAAGTGATTAAAAGTACGACACGTTGGTATTCAATAGCTTTCACTGAGTATAGCAACCCGCAACAATGCGTCCGCCAAACTTATCATATATTTAACACAGTACGCAGCTTAATGTAAGAAAACGGGTTAAGAAATGTATGTCATGTCAACATTCCAATGTGAACCGAAATAGTGTCACCCCTAGGAGCGTTTTCTCAACCCCCTGAGCGTTTGTGCACATGCCAAAGTTGATTCTGTGAGCCCAAGCCCCTATTCTGATGGTTCCACACACCTTGATAGACGTACGAAGTTCCCAACAGCCATTTCACTTCTGGTCATTACTGTATGAACAGTGGCAAAAAGTTTTATGCGGCACTGGATTTAGACATTTGGTTTCCGTGCAACGATCACCACAGACAAAGAGGCATAGTTTGAATCAGAGCTCTATAACTTCTTGGTAGAAAGACATCGTCGACAACTTGAAGCTGTCTTTATATTACACTTTGATCCCACAGCTGAGCAAAGTGTCTTACCATGGTAACTTTAGAAATTCGTGCAGCTATTAAGAGTGACGCTCAACGTTCACTGGTAGAGTCAGTTTGGAGCACCAACCTAAGACTCTGCAGAAAGCAGCAGAATCGACCATTCAACGCATGTCCAACGACTAAGGCACCAAATGATTAACTTAAGGCTGGTTGCAGTCCATGGGCGGACAAGAGTAGTTTATGTCCCAACGATACCGACGCTTGCGCACACGAATGGACTCGCCGTAGCAGAATTCTACCAACCTTTAGCCCCCCACAAGAAGGACCCAATAAAATTATCCCACGACACCTAAAATATTTAATCGTACAGCGCTGCAACACCAAGGATAGTGTTAGTGCAGACAGACTAAACCCAGCATAACTGAATAACTTTCCACGATACGCAATCCTAGACCTAATTCCACAGCATCTGGCGGACAATAGTACGAATAAACGTATGTTCGTAAACAAGGTAAAACTGTTAAAACGACACAACCTCTGTAAGAAATACCGT